CAGCTCCTTCTTTTGACCTCATGCAGTTATGATATAACCTTTAACGTTCAGTTTCAGTTTCAGTTAAATATCAGTTTCCTTAAAATCAAACAGCAAAAAAGGCCATACTGGACGGTATTGGTATTTGAATGGTCTTTTTCAATACACTTCAAACCATAACGTTATAATTTATTCCACGGTCATTTATTACATTATCGCTATACATCATACATCGGTAGTTCGGTGAATAAGATGTACTCGAAAACTTTAAAGATCATTGGCAAGTAATGCTTCACATTACAACATGGAGCGAAGTAACTTATGTTGGTAGCGCAGTAACTTATTTGATGTAGCGATCTAACTTTTGAGTGGAGCGATCTAACTTTTGAGTGGAGCGATCTAACTTTTGAGTGGAGCGATCTAAGTTTTGGTTGGAGCGATCTAACTGGGGGCGATCTAACCATGGTGCGATCGAACCGGATACCCGTCTGTAGTATTACAAGTTAGAGTAAGTTCAGGGTGGGACATACAGTAATTAGTCTTATTTTGTTTATCCTTTTATCCTGGGTTTGTCTGCTTTAAATAGATAAACAAGACAAGAAAGTCAAACATAAAGGTGGACAGAAGCAGCAAAAGAAAATGAAAAAAGGTTCAGATGCTGACAGTGATGCGTCTTCTGAGGAAGATGGATACCTAGATTCTAAAGAGGTTGACTATCTGTCTGATAGTTCTTCTTCTTCTGAGGGTGAGATTTTTCGTACAGACTACTTTTGATATTATCATATACACTTAATAACAATAGGGGTATGTATCTCGCACCAATCAGATTGCTGTATGAGGGTATGTATCTCGCACCAATCATATCACAGCATTTGGATATCGTGCATATGCTGTGCGCAAAGAATGACATCAATCAGAAGTTTTGGGATCAATTGATGAGTGTAATGGTGTGTGGCTTTCGTAAGAGCCTCGTCGATTGAGGTCGAGATTTATCGGGGTATGAAAGGTTCACATTTAACTTTTTGTATCATTTTTAAGTTAAAACGTGTTTTTTCCGCTCCTTTACTCACAACGCATACGCCAAACAACTCAGAACATTGCACTACATGAACATTAGGCAATGTTTCACGTGTTGAATTGTATTCCATCAATCAAATTCCATTTTGCCACATTAAACTTCGCTCCGTCGCGTGTCACTTCCTTATAAACAACCTGCATTTGATCACGTATTCTAACCGCATTATCTAACGTAGTCATCGTCATAACCAATTTAAAAGTTGATTTTGTGTCATTGTTGATGAGTCAGTTTCTTCATCCCATTTTGAGAGTGTAGTGAACCTCACGTTATGTTTTCAGGGATGATAAGTCAATTTGTAGGTATCAGTAAAATAAGGTAAATGTTTCGCTGCTTTGTTTGTGAGTTTTTTCAATGTTGCAAATGAGCCTTATGACAAGCATTTTCTGATGTATAAAATTGTGCTGTTTTTTTATGTTCACAGAATTCTCAATAAAGTATGTTTACTTTTTACAGAAGCAGTTAAGAATATTGAAGTGACTAAACCCAAAGCTGAAGATGACCTAAATGCAGAGGAGACATCTAGTGACGAGGAAGATGATTTGACACAAGAAGGACATGAACTGAAAGACATGTTGGATCGAGAGGAAGGAAGAGAGTCTTGGGATGAAGAAGAAGAAGATCCTGACCAGGATGAAATCAAAGGCACTTCTGCTCTCTTTTTACAAGGTTGGATAAAACGTTCAGCAACATTTATTGCTTAGTGAGGTACCACTGAAACCATGTATGTATACAGGCGTTTGCGTTACTGATAAGCCAACACTAAGATCCCCTCTACAACTTATTTCACCAGGTGATAAGAAAAGAAAGAAGAAGTCTGGCAGTGGTTCCAGTACATCATCCAACAGTCGATCATCCACCCCCACTACTGCTGTGGACGGTGCCGCCAACACCATTGCTGCTGCTGTTAGTAAGCTTAGTCAGGATAGACCAGGAACACCCTGTGAGTAAAGTTCATATTTTCCCTATACTCCCCATGTAATCCATATGCTGCCAAACATCACATGAATACACTGATAAGCCGTCAGTGGATCTTCATGATTTTCAAGAGCTTTCAGAGAGCTTTCTGGAGAGGGGCTATCAGAGAGGGGAGGGAGAGGGGGGAGGGCTTACAAGGTCCTATCAAAAAACTCATGAAGAATCACAGTGTAAGTCATAATTTTTCTGCTCAGTACGAACTTTTAAAACTTACTATGATTAAAACGGAAATGAAAGCAGGCTTTTAACTGCGAGTATTTATTGTTCTGAAGAAACATTACCTACAGTTTTTTATTATAACATTATTTTGCCTATATTGTTTTTATTTTAGAGTTCTTTTTTTTAAGGGAAAGGGAAGAGGAGGAAGGCCCCACAAGATAGAGGGGGGTTATTTTATTCACAAACTTGAAGATCTAGAAGGGAAGGTATTTTGTGAAAGGGACTGTGCAGATTTTTTTGGACCAACAGTTACTATTTTTTCAACACCATTCTTGCGGGTCTTAGAATTCCCCACTGCCTTAAAAACGACACGTCGCGCGATTTGCTGTGTTCTCTGTGGTGACGTTTCAAATAACCTTAAGCGTGAAATAATTCTTGACTTTTATGTCAGGAATTAAGATCGCGCTTTGGAAGTCGGAATCACTCACACTGACGACTGACCTGAAACCTTTCATTTCATGACCCCATGTGTTTTGTATATCTGCCCGGAATGTTTCCTTGCGTAACCTTCAATTCAACTTGCGATGCAGTCTGAGCGAGCCGAGCTATAAAAGGGTTTAGCCTTTGAGTAAATTAGACGCTGTTTTAGTCATACTCATTCTCTTATTTAAATAACAGCAAAATCCAGAAAGCGCCCTGCAAGCTCAGCCAAAAAAGGCGCCACCGGTGAGGAGGGAAATCCGGCGTCCAAAAAGCCTCGTGTATCCCCACCACCTTCAGCGGGCACGGGAAGTGGCTCAAGAACAAATACCCCAACACCGACCGGTAGTGAGGATGGCCCTCAGGGGATCACTGAGGATGCCGTAAGGAGGTACCTTACACGAAAACCCATGACGAGCAAGGACTTACTGCAGAAGTTTAAAACAAAGAGAACAGGGTTATCTAATGACGAAACTGTTAAGAAGATTGCAGCTATCGTGAAGAAGTTACATCCAGACCAAAAAACCATTAAAGGAATACTCTACCTGTCACTTAAACCATTAAGTTAGGTATAAACTGCAAAACTTGACAAAGTAATGGCGCCTGTGTAACATAATGTGAAGTAACTATTAGTCTGGCACAAATAACACACTCTTTGTCGTCAAAAAAAAATTGAAGTAAAGAAAAGGAATATAAGAAGTCTGACTTACGGATTTTCTCAGGGCGGTCACAGGTAGTAGACCATTTTAAGAGTGGATATGCCACTTTCCGACTTTGTCGCTAAATTTATTAATATTTCAGCTGTATTATGCATTTATGGGATTAATTTAGCTTCTAGAATAGGCGCTATTGATTTCGTTTTCACGGTTAGGCGGGGACAAAATGTAAGGCGAGATGTGTGCGAACCACGTGCGAATCACGCGCGCCTTGCCTCGACTGACTTATGGAAATAATATCGCCTGTTCTATTTCTTATGATGGACTGGTCCAGCTTAACTGGTCTGATTATTAACCGAATTCTGACTGATGAAAAGCGCCTCCAGAGTAGGTAGCTTCTTTTCTTTTAAAATCGTTGATTACCCCAACATCGGTATGTCTACTCCAAACTGCCCTCCGTACATTTCGCAAGGTGCTGACAAGGAGAATTTGTTGAACAATCATGAGCTTTAGATGGTGATCATTTCCTGTATTTTTGTGACCTCGATATCTGATTCAGAGGTGAATTTGTAAGAAGAAATTAGATGTTAGTCACTCTTTGTGGTCAAAGGGTCAAAACAAATGCGAAACTACATCTGATACCGAATCATCAAGATTACCTTGAGAAACACGATGAAGAGAATTTAGGAACATGTTCCGTTTCGATCTACTGCCCTTCAGAAATATAAGCACCTGGTTTTACTTCCCTTGCTGCCTAAACTTAACTTGAGTGAACATTTTGACTTGTTTAGGTTTGTTATACCAGATCGTTTCTTGTTCCCCTGAAAGTCATTAAATTCCTTAAGTTTATCATCCCTTGCCGTCTGGACACGAGGATGGCTCCCTTTTGTCACCTCTATTCAACCTCTCACCTTCATCTTTAAAGGTCCATGTAGTTGTAAAGCGTCTGTTTTGCGTCCCACACCACATCCTGTAAGAATTACTTAGACGCAGCTTAGTATTAGCGACTGCTCACTTTTTATCGCCGGGGAAAAGGGGGAGGGGTTGGGACGGAGGATTTTGATAAAATGATGAATGATCTTAATCCACTGCAAGGCTATGTAATATATTTAGAACCCTCACCCCCTTTGCTGGCAGCTAAATAGCACTCAATTTTCTTTAGTCCTTCACCTACACTCTACTAGCGACAAATGGTCCCCACACCGTTCCCATGTGATCTTTCCGCCAACATCCTCGCCCCTTCGTCTCACCCCACTAAGACGATTAATGGTGGCTGGAATTAATGATTGGTCCCCGGTAAACTTTAATTGTTCAATCCAAGGTGCTAGATTTAATAATGTTATGGAGTGAGAAGAGATACGTATTTACCTTCTCTTGGTGACGTAATTATGGGCCGATCAATTCGAAACTTCAGCAGCAGCACCATTAACTATTGCGAGACTGTGCTAAATTCTACAACATTTGTTAGTCACCTAAAGAATCGCTCAATATTTGGTGGACCAAATTTGGCCCGAGGTGGCGGGAATTTGAGCGAGGCAATCTTCAAAAGTTCAAATGCTCAGGGGGGGTTGCCCGCGAGGGATGTTAGCTTCGAATGTACAGTGGACGAAATGATCGGCAGTGTTGCGTGATCACGTGAATGTGCATACTATGTGACCTTTCCCAAGGGGTGTTAGGTTACGAAATAATAATTAGTTTGTGGGATATTTGCATAGCAATCTGTTTGGTCAGAGTCGTATGCGAGAGACTTACCATTATGGCGAGGAAACTGATTGAAACTCTCTTTACATACTGCTTCGTTACATATTATGGGCTGATGATGTTCTTTGTAGTCTTATGGCAGATGATACGTCGACTTGCAATCCCTCCTCGAGCAAAGCGAAGAGAAACTCGTAAGTGGGTCGGCCCAATGTTTGTCGGCCACGTAGTGAATTTTTCCTGCGTTCATTTTACACCATACAAGCATAGTTCTTATGCATTTCAATGGGTAGACTCGTCTAAAGAAAGCGTTCTCATGCCTCTCCTCCCTTCCCTCTTCAGCCTGTCTCTTTTTGGGACAATATATCCCACTGACTATTGCTTCTATCTCCAGAAAGATTCCTGAAATGTTGTTTAAGTGAAAAGAATCATGTTACTTTTAAGTTTGCTTGGGGGGGAGGAAGAAAAAGCATTTCAACAACTCTTTTTTCAAAAATCTTTCTCTGGCTACGTTCTTTTTTACTTTAGAGAAGTATCTGTAGACAGCCGTGTGAAGGTCAAAGGCTCCATCGTAGGGATTCCAGCGAGTTGTTTTCTGTGTTGTGGGATATCAAAAAGAAATACTGATGCAAATGAGAGCTAGTTGTCTGTGAAAGTCCACCATCTGGACTGGACTGATTTTCAAAGTAAAAGTAATATTGGACTATATCTGGGTTAGCTACCTTCTAAGACTTGTACTCATAGCTTTTGGAAAATAGAAGGAATTCTCCATGTAAGGATTTTTTTTTCTGTCTTTTAGTTTATGATGTAGAAACAAATTTTGGTGATTCTAAAGGAATTTTAAACCTAAGATATCTGGTGAAGTGAAGGTTTGCACACTTTAAATAAATGGCAGTCCATGACTGCATGAGCCTGCTGTTGTATGGTTTTAGATTGTTTCAGTAAAAAAGCAATGTGGTTTAAAATGCAGAGGGGCTAATGCACAGCCCTCATTGATGCAAAACTTGCAAACATAGGAGGACTTGGTCAGAACAGAGTCTTAAAACTGGTCCATCAACAGGCCAGGGACAGGGCAGGGAATTAAAAGAACAGTGAAACTTGTGCATCCCATATAATTTTATAGTAAACTTTGCCACTTTGCCACTTTGCACGCTCTGTTTACCTAGGGCAATGGAATTGAAGATATAAGGTTTTAGCCCTTACCACTTTCACTTTTTGGTTGTCTTTCTTTTTCTTTTCTTTTTCCTTTTCATCCTTTTGATTTGCATTCTTCTTCAAAGGATATGTTAGATATGTTCAGAGTAAAATGCCATATGCCTTTTTTTAATTAGGGCTATTAAAATAAAGATATTAATGTGAATGTAAAAATGTTTTAAGTTCAAATTGATAACAAGTCAACAAGTTGAAATGCAGAGGTGAGACTCTGAACAAACATAGAACTAAACCCATCAAACCAAAATGACTCTAAAAAAACCCATGTCAGATTTGTTCAACGATGGCCAGAGTTGGAGCTGAACCAGATTGCACAAGTCAAGAGACAAGAGATGTTACAGCTGTCTTACAATAGTCCACCATTTTGAAAACCATAAAGAGTTTAGGGGAAGGTTTATGGACTTACACCATTACCAACCATTATGTAGTGCCTACAGCGTTGTATATTGTATATGCACAGTTTTTCATGTGTCTTTAGTATATTGATGAGAATTGATTTTCTTCTTTTTCTGTGTTGTCAGCTCCAGTATGCCTTCTAAACCCTGAACTTGGAACTCACCACTTTCTAAGAACAGCTTCAAACATAAAAATTCACTATGTGGCCAAAGGTGATCCACAAAAACCACTTATGCTCTGCCTTCATGGCTTCCCTGAGGTGTGTCAGTGATAAAACATGTATGAGTTATGAAATTAGAAGATCCTCGCAGCTAAGAACACTACTGAAACTAGTAGTTGTAAGTAGGACCTGAAAAAATTTTCTGTGATTTGAACCCATGACCTCTGCATACCGGTGCAGCGCTCTACCAATTGAGCTAACAAGCCAACTGGGGCTGGTAGCTGGTCAATGAATTGGGTACAAATAAACACCGAGTGAATGAAGATTTAGATAAGAACAGCTTGGAAACATGAAATTAGAAATCGCAGCTAAGAACACTACTGAAACTAGGCCAAGTAGGACCTGAAAAAATTTCAGGCCCGTACGGGATTTGAACCCATGACCTCTGCGATACCGATACCAATTGTGTTCTTAGCTGCGAGGATCTTCTAATTTCATCTTTCCACCGCAGTGCAAATATGTGAATTTTCATATATCTAAATCTTCATGTATGAGTTACTCTATTAGAGGGAGGGGTGGGAGGGGGGGAGAGAGGGTAACACAGAGAGTTTTATTGTATCACTTGATGTAAACAAACCAACTCTTCCTTGAATGGGGATACAAAATGGTAGATTTTCTTAACAGCTAACCAGCTGAATAGGATTGGGTTGGTCTAGAAAAAAGGAACCACTTTGTTTTCACCCAAAACTAGTTAAATAATTTTTTATCTGATTTCCAAACTGTTCCTTATAAAGTGCCCTGTTATGCATCATTTATTTCCTTGTGGTGTTTAGAATTGTGCTGATGAAGTATTGTCTTAAGTATTTTGTGTTACAAACAATTATTTTTGAAATGTACAATACATGTAGATATGTAAACTAATGGTCCTCTATAGGAACAGTGTCCATTTTCTTGCAACAGTATACATGTTTTTTGATGTATGTATTATGTTGTGTTGTATTTCTTGGCTTGCACCTGCAGTTTTGGTATTCATGGCGATATCAGTTGAAAGCTTTCAGTGATGAGTATAGGGTGGTTGCAGTAGATATGAGGTAAATTGAGAAGATTGTCATCAAATAATTTTTTTCCATGTGATTTTTAACTTGTGACTAGTATTTGATTTAGGGGAAGTTAACTACTGCAGTATCAAACAAATGCTTGTTAAATAATTGTTTTCAACTGGCTACCACCCACTTGACAATGTATATACCAAATATACCAAGTTTTCTTTTTTTTACACTGTTGAATAAGATATGGACTCAAGGTCTCTTTTTATTATTGCACAATAATGATAATAATAATTATAGTCAATTGTTTGATTTTGACAGCATATTTGCAAATATCTAGAGGGTATATAAGAGTTGCTTAAACCTCTAGCTTTGAATTCAGTTTTGGAAGATTGAAGCCTTGTAGGTCCAGAAAACAGCTGAAATGTGTTAGGTATGATAATAGTACTCTGTTTTTTTCTTTTAGGGGTTATGGACTTAGTGATCATCCAGTAGGAAAGGACAAATACAAGGGTTCATACTTGGTGAATGATGTCAAAGAAGTGGTAAGTTGAAATTTTAAATTAATGGTGGTAATTTTATGTAACAATTATGTTGATAATAGAGAAGGATATTTTTTTTGGTCTTGTCACGAGTGTGGATAAAGAAAAAATTCTGAGTCCCCATGAGGAATCGCACCTCAGACCTTCAGATTCCATGTTCCAATGCTTTAACTGCTGCACCATGGAGACTCCATGGTGAGCAAGGTCTATTATGAAGTTCATATGACACATGTCCTGTACACTGCTAGGATCTGCAATGTGTAGAATAGTAGTTTTCTGTAAATGTTGTTGAACAGTAGCAACACATCAGCCTGGAAAATGTAATATGTTGTGCAAATTGCTGTTGTCCTCTGAAATAATAATATCATGTTGATAATGTTGACTATAATAGTGATTATGATCATAATGATATTGATTACAATTATAGACAAAAGGAAAGTCAATGCACATATATTGCTAACAAAGATAAATTTTAGAGTAAAAAGATATTTATGTCCTTTTTTGGTAAAGTGAAGTTGGTTTGTGCTTTTTTGTGGGGGTCTGTATCCAAAAGCTTCCTGTTAGATGTCTTTCTTATGCTTGTTTAATGATGTAACAAGTTGATGGTAACTATGAAAGCATGTTACTCACATGTTTCCCAGTGACTCTGAGGTGCACTTAATCTTCACAGTTCTTGCAGCATAGTTTTGTTATAATTAGTCTATGTGGTGATTGCCTTAAATAGCCCTTTTTGATTCATTTTCTTACCAGTTAAACCAGCCAGGGGTATTTCTTTCCCCTTAGCTTGTGTGTTGGTGATGGTTAACACTTCATCCCTACACCCTCCTACGCATGACACGCCCGTCCCCTTTTACCATAACAGGGTACTGTTACTGACGTAATTTAAAGACAAACTTGTGTGTAATCATGTATTTGTGTTGTTTGCTTATGCATTGATATTTGTATCCACAGATTGAGGGACTGGGCTACAGTTCATGTGTGTTGCTTGCCCATGACTGGGGAGGTGCCATTGCATGGTAAAAAAATTCTCATTTTATGGCTTATTTGAAAGAATAGTAATTTTCTGTAAATGTTGTTGAATAATAGCAACACATCAGCCTGGAAAATGTAGTATATTATCCAAATTGCTGTTTTCCATTGAAATAATTGTTAAGTCTGGCTGTGACAACCTAAAGGTGCAGTGACAAATTTTGTCCTGTTGCCCTAAGAGAGGTTGTTTTCTCACCACAATTTCAATACTTATCCAGTGAAAATAAGGGGAGAAGATACATGGATATCAGCTAACAAGTATTGTCATGGGAAAAAATGATAAAGAAAAAAAACATTTTGTCCAATGTAGTTTTAAAGGAAATGTCTGGAGGTTGGAAGGGAGAATTTGAATTTATTTCAGGGAGGTAACATGGAAGGGACTAAGTCTTAATCAGCCATGGGTCTTTTCAGAGTATTTCTTCTTTGTTAGAGATTTTTGATTGTGCATTGATCAATTTGAAGCTTCAAGAACATGCTCATTAGCTGGGGAAAGTGAACTTTTACCTTTAAACACCTCCATGTCTGAAGATGAAACACTTGTACTCTCTGGAAAGACTTGATACTTTTGGGTCAAATTTCCTACCTCACCCAGGCAAGGTTCAAATTCCCTACCCACTCCCCTACTTCACTGAACAAATGTAACCTGTTTTTCTTTCTTTTAGGAGGTTCACCCACATTCACCCTGAGTTTGTTGACCGGCTGATTCTGTGCAACATTCCACATCCAGCGTATGTGTTGCTTAAGTTTTAGCTATAAAAAGATCATCCACTTTCCACTTTCCATCTCTATTACAGTCTGTATTGTTATTTAAATGTAACTGTTATTAAATTGTTGGAAATGTTTGCTAGGCATGACAAACATGAGTGGGTCATTGGGGCTAGCAACCTAAGAGCACTCAAATGTGTACTGTTGTATTTATTTTCTTAATTAATTTGACTCTCTTTGCTTTATTATTCATTCAATAGCCATGGTTAACCCTTTAGCTCCAGCCAAGATCTGTTTATTAATTCTCCCTTTTAGCTGCTACACATTTCCTTATAAACGAGTTATGAGAATATGGTGTTGGATCAAGATAAATCTAATACCTTGGCTAACAAGGTTGTGTGTTCTTTCCTGTTTGCTGGATAATGTATAGTTAATACAAGGAGAAGTTACATGAAATTAGAAGATCCTCGCAGCTAAGAACACTACTGAAACTAGTAGTTGTAAGTAGGACCTGAAAAAAATTTCAGGCCCGTACGGGATTTGAACCCATGACCTCTGCAATACCGGTGCAGTGCTCTACCAATTGAGCTAACAAGCCAACTGGGAGCTGGTCAATGGTACAGGCCTGATGTTTATTTGTACCCAATTCATTGACCAGCTCCCAGTTGGCTTGTTAGCTCAATTGGTAGAGCGCTGCACCGGTATCGCAGAGGTCATGGGTTCAAATCCCGTACGGGCCTGAAATTTTTTTCAGGTCCTACTTACAACTACTAGTTTCAGTAGTGTTCTTAGCTGTGAGGATCTTCTAATTTCATCTTTCCACCGCAGTGCAAATATGTGAATTTTCATATATCTAAATCGAGAAGTTACATGTTTATCTCTACTGGGATTCTCAAGGTTTTAAAAAAATATCAATAGTCATTTCTTTCCATTATTATTTATTCAGATGCTTTGCAAAGTGTTTGAAGTCATCTAAGAAACAATTCCATGCTTCCTGGGTAAGAGACTATTTGTTTTATTACAATCTAAAACTGATTTTCAATACAAGTTATATTATCGGTACTTACCATAACGAAACTTATGAAACAGAACTTAAAATTACACTACATTGTCTTGAAGTGCAATAAATTATATAATATCACAAAAAAAGAAAATTTGAATAGTTTCAAATAATAGGAAATATTAATAAACAGTTTCTTCTCTTTCTTAACTGTGTTGAAAAACCAGTGCACATCAGTGAATGAAAGAAGAGGAAGGAGAAGGAGAAGGAGAAGTGAAGGAGCTTTTATTACCATTTACGTCCTTTCACTCTCAATTTATAAAAAGCAATTCTCTTCACTGTCCACCTTACATTTCCTATAATTTTAGCTTTGAGAATTAATTTTGGTGTTTGATTAAAAAAATATCCCTAATTTGATATTTTCCTTTCCTCTTTTTGCCTTTCTGCTTGAAATGTATTGATATTTTAAGGCTAAATTTCTTTTTGGTCACTCCTGGGAGTGAAAGGGTTGAATGTTTTCCTTTACAAGATGACAGCTATGGAAGATCAGTGCTCAGATATCCACTCAACCCAAATTCTCCCCTTTGGTTACTGTGAATTTCTTGTTGATTTATTTGACATCATTTTGTTTAATTTGTATCACCTTCTGGCTAATAAGTTAGTATGTTGTCATGTATGGTTATTGTTTGGTTAAGTTGCACCTTCAGTGCTATCCACTGTTTTAGTTAACAAATAGAGAAGCCTTGACTGTGCTCTGTTCTGCTGCATGCAGGAAGCGGCTAGAGCACGAAAGAAGTGTAGGGAGAAACACGGAGACATAGTCGAGTGTTTCTCCCCACTTCTTGAGTGCTCTAGCCGCTTCCTAAGTGCTTTACAACAGAACAGAGCACAGTCAAGGCTTCTCTATTTGTTTTATAATAAAGAATCTGTTAAATTCCCCAAGCATTACTTTCAATTTTCAAAACAAACTTTATTTCCAAAGCAAACAAAGGTGTCGTCAGCATTAATTAACCCCTAATGTCACACCCTAATGCACTTTTGTACAAAAGTCAAAGGTCTTACTTTTTTGATGATTTTGTTTTCTTTTGCAGTACATGTTTTTCTTTCAGTTGCCTTACCTTCCAGAGTACGTGCTAGAGATGGATGACTTCAAAGTTTTTGACGAAGGTTTTGGGGTAATGATAGTTGCATTTAACTTAAGTTGTTGAAACTTAAATGTTTGATTGTGCCTATGATGATTAGCATTATCTTGATATTATCTCTTTTTAGTGTCTCTTTTTAGCTCTTAAAAGTTTAGTTGCATGCTTAAGTGTCTGGTGATAAGGCTATGGAATATAATATGATAACAACAGGAAATAGGGTTCCTCGTTTGTTGTAACCTTGTATGAGAAATGGACTTAACAAGATGGTGATATTGTTAGTATGATAATGTAATCACTTGTGATGTTAACTGTAATCCATACATTAACTGTGAATCATGAGGCAAAAAAATGTTATTTCATAATTTTGGTATTTTGCTTTTACCAATAACCGCAGCCTGTTTTACCTAAGAATGAATGGCCTTCTATCCTGGATCGAAAGTTTTGTACTTTAAAGATCCATTTTTGAAGAATCTACTGTCTCCATTACACCCCCTTGTTAAAGCCTGAAGTACTTTTACTCAAGGTTTATTACAGTAGTTTTTATTCCAGGGGGGTGCTTTAGGGGAAGTTTTACTAACTGCAACTGGAATTTTTTCTTTATTTTGTTAACAGGAAGGCAAAAATTTCCACGAAGAAGATTTAGAGGCATACAAATATTCTATGTGTCAGTCTGGGTGCAGTGGTCCTGTAAATTACTACAGGGCTGCATTTTCACACAGAGATTTGCCTCCCACAACCTTTCACACCAAGATCAAGGCTCCTACCCTTGTGGTTTGGGTAAGTCAGAAATAAAAATCCAACCTTGTAACGTTGGTAGGGAGTTTGAAAAGTTATGATGGTCACACGTCAACCGTCTTTGAAATGGTCGACTTAAAACTGATCTGGGATTTTCTTAGTAGATTTGCGTGAGGCTTCATGTGTTTATTGCGTAAAATGGCGCTAGCATTTTGCAACCTGGATACAGGGCCTTTGTTCTGCTCTTAAAATATTTTGTTTCACCATAATCTCTCTACCGAGGGGGCTCTGGGAAAACACATTCGCAATTGCACTTCCAAGAAACCCCACCCGACTCCTGTTGATCTCTTGGTTTGTAAGAGTTTGTCTCCGATCTGCAATCACAGAGGTTTTTTTTCTTTTCTTACTCATCTACTATGCCAAATTGAGATATGACTGCCTCTGTTTTCAAATGCGGAAGAATTTTAAATTTTCCGCAATATTGTGGATTTTGTGTGAATTTTATGTATGTGACTATAAGGTTTTCTCAGTTGATTGATTTCTCGCACGAAACTTGAAAAATGAACAAGTGTATTTACATACAAATCAAAGATTCAGGACTTGAACGGAATTGAACCTTGAGCATCCTTGATGTTCTGACAGAAATGGAATGTATGGGAGTATATACTAGGAACTGAACAGTGAAGGTAAAAAAAGTATTTATTCTGGAGTAAAATAATTACTTCTTGATATAAGGCGTTTTTCGTCCAATACTAGTTCCCTGGTGTGATTCTTAATCGTAAAATTGTGTTGTTCATCTTAGAAAGCTAACAGGACCTTGGATTGATTGAATTTAATACCGTTATTATTATTGTTTCAATATCAGCTTGTTTTTTAAAGGAGCACCTTGATTTCCTTTGCATTTTAGGGCACAGGAGATGCGTTTCTAATGGTGGAAACGTTGAAAGGAACAGAAGATTTTGTGGAAGATTTGACCATCAAGTAAGGCGTTAATTTTTTCAGTGATGATGCGGAGGTTTCAAAAATAACCTGCGCTAGACCGCCGCCCTATAAGACCTCTTACCACCGTCTGTGAAGCTTCCAAGAAGATGTCCAGAATGCTGGAAATTACCTTTCCGTGATTTTAGGGTTTTTCATGTAACATGTTTGATAGCCTGACATTTGAACTTTTAAAATTGTAAACAGCTCGAGTCAGTCAGTTTCCTAATGTGATTACAATATGTTCACCCAACAGTGATAGCGAAAACATCTTATTTTGCTCTGAGGCAACACTAAAACGTGTTGGTGACCCACGGAAACTAAAATGTCAAAATAATTTACCCTCGTCAGCTGAATAGGTTGTGAAAATAGACAAATTCACCTGTGAAACAGCGTCATCTTGATAAAACGCCATTCGCTTCTTCTCAATTTTAACAGATACGTTGACGGAGCAACTCACTGGGTCCAAATCGATGAATATGAGGACGTGAACAAACACATTCGTGAGTTTCTCAATGTCCATCCTCTGGAATCTTTACAGAAACCAGATTAAGAGAAGACGTGAACATATCAGGGTGCCTTTTCGTTGATAACCTCTGTTCCGAAGAAGAAAGTGGATTTCTGTCAAAACTTTCGAAGAAATAAGTCTTCTGTTCTTAGAAAATAGAGTGGAAATAACTGATAACTTGGTATCAATTGGTAGTTCTCGCAATCATCATCAGGATCTTGAAGTTTGTAATATTTAGAGAAATTTGCCCTTATGGATGATATGAATAGTATTCCATATATTTTACGTAGGGTTTCTTACAAGGGAAGCAGTGTTAGATCACATAACAATTATCAATTAGATGAGAATGAAAGTATATGAAAATATATGACTTTCATATATTCTAACCGTTTATTAATTAGATGATGTTGAAAGATGTTAGAGATTCGTCCAGCTTACTGTTAGATGCTCACTACTAACGGAGCCACTTAGAAACCCCTAGTGAACTGGGCTCGAGCTAGGCCATTTCTAGAATGGACGATGTTTTTGTTTTGAAGTTGTTAGTTTTCAGGAATGTGTTATGATAAAAACTCGAAGACTTAAGTCGAGAGGGTTTGTGTGCAGTTTCCTCCGACATTTTAATAAATATAAATCAAAGTATTTTCACTGCACACATGGCTAAAGAAAACTCGGTGAGGAAAACTTGCAGGAGTACAGTTTTATCATGCAGCACCTTAATAAATGTCTTTGTCTAGTCGCCTAGAATCATAGATATTATTGATTACAAGCTTTGAGAAGGTGGACCATCAAAGAAAAAAATTATCTCCGAAAAACTTATTTTTATGCGACCAAAGAGTAATCGCCGCGTGGTCGTTCGCCTTTCCACGCGCTTGAGACTGTGACTGTGACTGACCCCAGAGAAATGAGTCATTTTTGCTTCCCCTATTAGTGAGAAAAAGAATGATAGTATAATAATAACAATAAAAATGAATAAAACTAAAAGAATAACGACAGTAAACAAACAAACAAACAAACAAACAGATGATTAAATCTCCCGAAATCCCCTCCTTTACCTCCTGGTGATGTGTACCTGTGTTCTGATTGGCTATTGTGACCTTTAGTGTTGATTCCGACCGAAGAGCACTCTGATTTTCAAAGAAGTAAAATACGCCTTATGGAATTAATTGAGAAGTGAAATCATCCTTTTTCAACGTGTTAGCTGACTAGAATTTTCTTAGTTCGTTTTGCCACTGCAGCATAGAGAGGAAGCAGTGGCCTATAGCTGTTGGCAGAAAGGTTGTAGGAGAAAAAGTGGATGCGACCACTTCGAAAGGACTTTCATGTCACGGTTTCTTGAGTCAGGATGTCAGGGAAATTTAAAAAAACATCACTGTCAGGAAAAGGCAAAGCAAGTTTGATATTCTAATTTGGTAAGACTGACTTTAAATTCTAAACTTGATAACAAAGAGAACAAACTGACCCGATTGCAGTATTCACGTGTAGGTCGGCATTCATCCCCTGTTCATTAGATCTTTTGTCCATATTTATTTGTTAAACTTATCACTAACTACCGGATATCCAGATTACCTTGTTGCGTGCACTTTGTGTTCTTTGCCAACAACCTTGTTGCGTGCACTTTGTGTTCTTTGCCAACAACCTTTCTGCGGAATTAGGGTCCGGACGCACTGGACTGACAAAATTTGTTAGGCCCTACCAAAAATCTCGACAAAATTTGTCTCTGCCAAATTTTCAATTTGTTAAGCGTGGACGTATTGAGACACAGGAAAATATTCGTTAGCCACTTGTTTCAACCACATGAGACAAGAGCCACCATCGCAACGTTCGAATGATTTTCGGATCTACCAAACATAGCAGGCGACATCGGTGGGACACATCTAAAAATAAAGACTCCAAAAGTAAGCGCCGTCGACTAGTTTAGCCGATATAAATTGAACAATACTTGGCCCCGGAGAGACAGCTGGAACGTAAACTTGGGAACCGTAATAGTTGTATTCTGAGTAAGGATCGCTATGCATTATACCGAGGTAGGAATCTTCCATCTTTACCGTTTGATTGCCGCGCAACTAAGAAACAATTTCGGCGGGCTTCGGATTGAAATACTCCGACCAAAAATAGAGGTCAAATTTTCTTGATTGAGATTGTTCTTCAAATCATGGCGTGTAAATTGACAAATCTGTCAGATTTCACGCCTGACAAAAATTTGTCCTGCTCCGAGGCAAGCGACGGCGTCCCTGAGGTTTGGTAAGCCTTGACAAAATCTGAGGGAACTGGTGACAGATTTTTTCGCAAAATTTGCCCAGTTCTTCCGGGCCCTCAGACAACATAATTAATGACGTCACCTAAAAGCAACCCTTCCCAGACTTCTCGCTGATAATGAGATTCCAGTGAAGAGGAGACCCCCTAAAAATTTAAACAGAGAAAATCGGGGGATTTTTTCATGATTTTGCTGAAAATTTCTTCAGTTCTCTGGAAATTTAGCTCCTGCATAAGACGTGCAAAACGTAGTTGATTGCGATAAAATGATAAGCTGACAATCAAATGAAATAAACCATATTTTGAATCAGGACAATGTTCAAGCAAAATGATCCCCTCACAGAAAGTGCTGAAAAGAAGCTTGAAAATATTGCTTCTTTTGACCAATTCTTCCGAACAAAGTTCACCTGCGAGGTCATTTCTTTGAATTGATCAGCAAACATTTCGTGACAAAGGATCACAATAGGAAGCATAACATGTGACCTTCGATCAAAGATCAAAGCAGTCACAGGTACATATTTTTGCTGTCACACAGCTGCATGCGAGAAGCGTAGTAGTATGGCGAGTAAACTCATCGAGACGTTATTTATCTACAGCCTGGCTTCATTTTATGGGCTTTTGGCATCCTTCGCAGTCTTATGGCAGATAATACGTCGATTTGAAATCCCTTCCCGAGCAAAGCGGAGAGACACCCGTAAGTGAATCAACCCAATTTTGTTATCACTCATCTTAAGTGAAATTGTCCTTCGTTTAATTCATAGCCTGTTAATAGGTATTTGTCAGTTAGAGAGTTATTACCCAAGCGTACTTTATACACAATGTATTTAAAACGTGGTTAATAACGAAGGTTATTCCTTCCCCTTCCCTTCCCATCTTAGTACTGGAGCAATCCCAGTTATTGTCGCCTTTTTTTCTTGAATAATTTCCTGTTATTTTGATTGAGTGAAAAGAAATATACGCCTCAATTTAATTGAAGGAACAAAAACGGCGTGCAATAATTTAATCACCTGCTCTTGTTACATTTATTTATGTTATTATTTTAGAGAAATGTCTGTAGATAGCCATGCCAACTTGTTAAAAATCAGGGATACGCGATTACAGCATGTTGTTCTTTGTAGTGCTGTGGAAAGTGGGACATCCGAGGAAGATCTTAATGCAAGTTAGATTAGCTGTCTGTGGAAGTCCACGATCCGGACTGAATTTGTTTCGCACCAAAAAGGGCTTTATTGCGACTATCTGTCTTTCAAGACTTGGACCTATCAATAATTTGCATGATAATTTCTCATGTAGAACAGAATTTCCAACGTAGGTTTTTTGTGATTCTCTGATTATGATTTATGAAAACAAAATACAACTAAAAGTAGAAGATAGATAATAAGTCATTAGATTTCCCCAGTGGGTAGGGGAGGAAAATTTGTTTTGTTTGCCTGCCCTGAAACACTGAAATTCAAGGAAGTTTTGCATTGGTGTCTCATTGGGTTTTAAGTCAAAATTCTCTGACAAATATCACAAGGCAGACAAGAAATTCAAGAGAACATGTTAGTTATCAGCCTCTATTACTGTAAGCCATATTCTTCAATATTTTGTTTGAACTATCTGTAGTTGGATAAAGATGTAAGCTATAATTAGTTGTTCTAACTAGTTGTGTTAAACTGTTTTAAGTTTACTGTATTGTTAATTTTTAAGCCATTGATTATTTAGTATTTCAATGAGTTTGCTTTCCTTATCTTTTGTGTCCTCAGCTCCAGTATGCCTTCTAAACCCTGAACTTGGAACCCACCACTTTCTAAGAACAGCTTCAAACATAAAAATTCATTATGTGGCCAAAGGTGATCCACAAAAACCACTCATGCTCTGCCTTCATGGCTTCCCTGAGGTGTGTTAATAATCACTTTATAGACATGTTACCTTTCAGGGGTATCTCTTAGAGTTACATAGTATCATTAATAACATATAACATGCAAATCTTTCTTTCTAACTGATGAATTGCTGAATGAGATTGTGTTGACCCACAAAATATTCCATACCATTCTCTCTCAAACATAATGTGTATTTGATCAAGAATGAGTTTTTCATTTGATTTTCAAACCTCTCATGTTAATTTTTTAAGTTAGACACTATGCATCAGTTATTTACAGTCTCTTTAGTGTATGGTATACAAATATGATTGCTTAGAATAAACTGTAGGTGTGTTAACTTACTGGTCAGGTACTGTACAGGACAATTTTTCATTTCTGTGCAGCAGTTTACATCTTCTCTTTCTTAATAAGCATTATTATTATTTGGCATGATAGTCCTGAGGTAAATTAGAGCATTCTAATGGGCTCTTACTTGGTACAAATTTTGCAAAACAAATCATTTCTACAGAAACAGTCTTACACTGTGAATTTTTGCTGTGAAAGTCAGAAAATTCAAATCAACAAGTTTGGTCTGAGTGCTGTGTAATAAATTACTTTCCAACTTCACTTGCTTAAGTCATGCTGGGGAATATTGGCCCTTGCTTGTTTTAGTACAGACCTTGCTGTGCTCAGTCTGAACTGCCATGATCATGGCAGTGCAAACTGAGCGGTGCGGCCCTCATGCTCAGTTGGGAAGAAGTTATTTTTTTTGTTTTGAACTTGCAGTTTTGGTATTCATGGCGATATCAGTTGAAAGCTTTCAGTGATGACTACAGGGTGGTTGCAGTAGATTTGAGGTAGATTGTAAAAATTGTTTATGAATTAAAGTAAAAATTATAATCAATAATGATGTTTTGATGTTCATGTGATTGCAAATTTATAAAATAATTTGATCAAAGGGAAGTGAACACCAGCAGTATCAAGCAGATGCCTGGTGATTTTGTTGTAACAGGTTTCTTTGTGAACAATATATACTTGTCTAAAGAACTTTTTTTTGCTGTGCAGGTCTATGTGATATTGTGATATTGTTACAACAATGATGATGATAATTATGTTGCCAAATATATTGTTCAATAGTTAATGACCCACCAAAATTTTTTTCAGACTGGGTGGGTTGTTCAACTTGTTTAAACCTCAGTATTTTGTGACCTAAAATCTGTATATAGTTTCCAGAAGAGGAAAAGCAGGCAAGCAATCAGTTTCTGACTATCACCTGATGTCTTAAGGCTTGATGATGGAAAAAATGAGAGCAAAATGGCAAATTTGTTTCAAAGTTAAACAAAGGTTGCCAATGATTTTTATGGAAATGTTTATTTCACTTAATAAGCTATTAATAATGAACAACTCTATCACATTTTTATTTTGTAACTGCCATGTTGCCAAACTGATGACATGAGCTTCTAACTAGTCACCCAAATTTTATCTACTTGCTAAGGAGACAAAACAATTGCAGTTTGAAATGCTGTTGCTTCCAGCCCTTTTACTCCCAAGATCTTAATACTTTTTCAACTAACTGGCAGCTATACATTGGCTGTAGTTGTACTTTAAAAAATTTGGTGCTAAGTTAAATAACATTTACAGTTGATATTCTCTGTAACTTATTACTTGTCTGCTAAAGGGGAAATTAGTTTTTAGTCACTCTAATGGTGAGCCCCCCACAGCAAAAAATTCTTTTACTTGGATTTTTATTGTAATTGCTGTAGAAATTTTTTTTTGTACTCAGTTATGGTTGATTAAGGCCTAGTAGGGCTATACAATTACCAGATGTGCTGAGTGCACCTTTACAGTGGCACTCAATGCCTTCTCTCATTTAGGGGCTATGGAGAAAGTGATCATCCAATAGGAAAGGACCAGTACAAGGGTTCATACTTAGTGAATGATGTCAAAGAAGTGGTATGTTGAAATTTAGGATTTATGGTAATATTGAATGATGATGACAATGACTAACGGTGATATTAATAATTGTAATGATAATAATAATGTTGATGAAGATAGGAAAGTTCATCAGCCAAATTGCCAACAAATGTCAATTTTAAATGGTTTGGAGCTTTGAAAAAGCTATTCATGTCCTTAGCTGGAAAGATACAATTAGATTGAATCTGCACAGGGAGTTTGTTTATGACAGCTTGCTTTCAAGTTAGTTTATGTACTTATGGCTCAGAAAGTTTTCTGTATTAAGGTATCACAAAAGGAAAATTAGGGTCTTCTTTCAAACTGATTAAAAAACAGCATGAGAATTATTTGTGCTGTATCCCTGTAAAAGTATAAATTTTCTTTAAGCTTAGTAAACACTAGTTCTATAATTTAGACCATTTTTAAATGTTAAAACAGAATGGGAGGGTATTTTTTTCATGCTGAGACATTTTACAAGACAAGATTGTCGATGCATTTTCATGAAAACCTTTGTTTTTATCCGAATGTGATCTGCACATATTGAACAAAAAAGCATGTCTGGAATTTGTATTTTAAGGCTCTCTAGTTTTTTAGAATGATTTTTAACTTCATAGTAGCACTTTTTCATGAGGTTTTCAATGTAGACACTTTATCTCAAAATGTAAGGAAAAACCCAGACACCTTTTTTGGGTTCATTATATGTCTGACATTCTTTCCAAATCTTACTGAAATTGTCTGAATTTTTTGCAACCCAACGCCTTTGGCAATTCAAATAGAAAAAAGATTCTGGCCTCTGCATTTCTTGAGTGTAGTAGAAACCCCTAACGCTAGTAGTCAATAATATTTCTGCTATGATGTGAACTGCGAGACTTTCCTTTTTCCAGGATGGCAAGAGAGACTTTTAAAGAGGTTTTTGGTCATGTTAACAGTTTGATAAAAACACTTGAATAACAAGGAAAATTTCTTTAGCTTTTTGAGAGAACTTATTAAATGAGTGATTTCATTACCGTGCAAAACTCGGCAGTGTGTCATGGTAATTCAGTAATGGTTTTGTAATTGATAATTAGGTGACAAAAAGAAGTTTACAATTAAAAGTAAAAAAGATACCTAAATGAAATTTTCAAAAATTAATAGATCTCTATTTTCTTTACTTAAGATATAAAACTTTCAGGAAATTTATAGAATATGACCTTTTTTCCTTCCATGATACCTTAATGTAATGAAATACTTGTATCGGCTTTGACTTGTGACTTTGAAGAGTAATAAACATTTTCTGTCTTCACTGCATAGGTTTGGTGTTATATGTCAGTGTGGCTTTTCCTTTAATTAGCCCTTTGTTTCATACACTTTATTACCAGTTCAAAGGAGTTTTTTGGTGGTGACAGAACTCTATATCTGTACCCTTAACTACACTTGGCCCCTTGCACTCATGATTTTTTTCACATCCTAGCTTTACAGTAAGAGGGTATTGTTATTTGCTGAATTGACTGAAAGTGTATATTAATTATGTCTATGTGATATTCATGTATGCATGGAAATTTGTATTTTCAGATTGAGGGTCTGGGCTACAGTTCATGTGTGTTGCTTGCTCATGATTGGGGAGGTGCCATTGCATGGTAAGGTTTTTTTTTTTAATGGAACAATCTGTTGCTAAGCCTACAATAGCAGTGACACATTTACCGGTAACCCATTGACTCCTGGAAGTGTGAAAGATTTACCTTCTCCTAATAGTTCAATACTTGCCCAAAGAAAAGGAGGAGAGAATTACTTTCAGTTCACAAGAGGTCTTGTAGAAAAACACCAAATTAACAAATTAACTACAATTTTCCATTGTCTATAACCTTATTGATCACAGAAATGAGATAAATGATGTTCAAAAATATAGTGTACCAAGTAGTTTCTATGTGATTACCAAGTGTTGCATTACACATTTTTCCATTTATATCTATAACCTTATTGACAATGGCTCTTTGCTCATTTAAAAGGAAATGTGTCAAAGCTAGAAAGGAGATTTTGAATCTTGGTAATTTAGGGGCAATTTTTGCAACAGAGCTGGTCAAATCTAGCCTTTCCTGTGGCTCCATAGATTTTCAGGTTTTTGAGTGATGTCCATGATTTGTTTGTCTCCTTGACATTAATTTTCATGAAATTGTCCATTTTGTTGTTGTTAGTACGGCTGACTTATGGATGTTAATTGATGTTTTACACCCCAACATCAGTATATTCTCCATACTGTTCTCTATACATATCCTAGTATGCTGTTGAGGAGAATTTTTAACAATCAAGACATTCTTTAATTGGTGATTATTTCCTTTATTCTTGTTACTTTAATGTTTGATTCAGGGATGATATTGTAAGGAGAAATTAGATGTTAGTCATTCTTAAGGGTTGAAGGGTTAATCCTGACATTACTTACTCTCCCAGCAGTGTCCATACAAATAGTATTTGACTTAAATCATCTCCAGAATGTATGCACAACTTAATAACAAAAAGTAAATTAATTGTGTTTATTTCTTTCAGGAATTTCACCCATATTCACCCTGAATTTGTCGACCGGCTGATTGTGTGCAACATTCCACACCCAATGTATGCATCATTAAAGTTTTAGCAAGAAATAGTCATCCAGTTATACAAAAAATATTGGCATTAACTATTTTTTTAACTGTATCTGTTATGAATAGAAACGCATCATTATATAGGAAATTTTTGCCAAAAAAATGACCTGCCAGAGTGGGTCATTAGGGCCAGCAACCAAACAGTCTGTCCCTTGAGATTTTGTACCGTTTTATTTATATCCAGATATGACTCTTGGTACATAAATATTCATTGGACAGGGACAGTCATGGCTTAAACACAATAATATCAACATTCATGTCTTAAACAAAATGATATCAACAATCACTTATTTTCATTATTATTTATTCAGATGCTTTTCAAAGTGTTTGAAGACATCTAAAAGACAATTCCGTGCTTCCTGGGTGAGATACTATTTATTTTCCTTTACAATCCAAGTATGACATGGTAGTTTTAATATTACCTACCATATCAGAACCACTCAGAGCACAAATAACTCTCAGTTATATGATATCCTTGCCCTGTACGTGCAAAGGAAATTACTAGCAATGAGCTAAAGGTCTGCTTGTGTTATCGGTTAAACCATCCAATAATTGACTTATTTCTCACTAGTATTCCACTGTTGCGTATTTTGGCTTCTGGTCTTCAAAATACATCCTACGGCCTTACCTTAGTATTGTATCAACCTAAATAATGAAGCGGGCGTCAATGACAAAGACAAACCAACGTATGAATTATGTTTATGACAAGCAAAAAAATCTCACATGCTTAAAATTTCGTTGCTTTAAAAATTCCAGCACTAGCAAGGGAAAAATTAGAGTTTTAGTAGTTCATTGTGAACAAAATTTTCACTACTTTCATCTGGATTGTTGTCCTATTTTTGTAACGTAGTACTATGGTACAGTTTACGTGTTCCATTGCCCTTATGATTATGGTAAAATGGGGTAATAGGAGATGATAAATGCAGATATTGACAGAAATCAGCGTGGTACCCAGTGTAAAACTTGAAATTTAGGAAGTTAAAACGTTTTCCGATCTGTTTTTATTTCTTTTGCAGTACATGTTCTTCTTTCAATTGCCTTACCTTCCAGAGTACTTCCTTGAGATGGACGACTTTAAAGTTTACGATGAGGTTTTTAAGGTAATGATAAATACATTTAACTAGGATTGTTAAAACTTTAATAGTTGAGATAATCAATAGTGACCTTGCTTTTTTTCGTTTATCGTCCTTGCTGTGAGGGTTTTTTTCTGGCCTCTCGCGGTTTTCTTCTCTGCATAAAGACCAACGTGCGAAATTCCTCCTGGAAAATAGTGGATGAAGAGCCAATCAATAAAATATAGAAGTGGATGAGAGATAGAAAAGTATTTTGTACAACGTCATTTTGGATGCCAATCGAACTTACGATTGGTTCATTTGTACCACGTGGCACAAGATACTCTTCTTTGATTGGCTATCCTTTAGTACCCCCGCATAGTACTATCAAAAATTCTCAATTAAGGAATTTCCCATAATGGATATAAAACACGCGTCACCAAACCCAAAATCTAAGTTTATCAAACTAATTCTTATCCCTGGGTGCTTCTTTATGTGAAGTTTCGCAAACCACAACCGTCATCTATTTTTTTAGTCCACGGTGCCCAAGGCAACGTAGACTACATGTTGTCGTGCCCTTAGGTCCGTCCGTGAACATTCCCATCATTCGTAACGGCCTTACACATGCAAACGTTGTTACATTAACGCGTACGGGGAAGTGGCTGAAACAAATTTTCGAGTTTTTGCTATGTTCCGAAATTCACTTCATCCATCACTCAATTACTCCTTTCCACTTCTTCTTTCCAATCCTGTTAGCCTTTTTGGTAAGTCCGTTAGCTTATAGGGCTTTCGTATGTTCAGTTCGAATTCCTGCGTGGGGCTGAGCTGATCGCTAGAAATTGGTCAAAATTTGAACAGTCTGCCGAGAAATAGTGTGTATTTAACCTAAAGCTAAGATTTGAGACTAAAATATTCTACTGATGGATGAAAACTCGATTGAAATTAAGACTGCGTGCATAAGGTATCAACCAAGGCTGAAACAAATCGTGCGCATACGTCAGAGCACTGACGAAGGGATAACGCTCGAAGCGTCACCTTTGAAACTCTTTACGGTGGGCCAATTTACGTTATCAACTCGTTGTTAATACTAAATTACCCTGTTTAAATGTAATTTGAGACTGACAATTTTTTTCGGTAAGTGGATCAAATTTATCAAGATACCAAGTAAATTCAGTGGCTTGGGTATTTCATCCCTTCATAATTTATTTTCCGAGCTCAGTGGCCCACAGCCACTTTGACTTATACGTTTGTTCACATCGTTTGCATGTGGGTGCTTTTTTAGCAGAAGAACCAAATTTCATTAGAGGAGTGGTAGTTTTGATTTTAGTTGCAGAATCGTTAACTTTTATCACAATATTCAATGACTTATTTACTGAGCGCTGTGCCTAGCTCGGGTAGCTTTTTTCCGGCCGGTTTTAAGTAGCAGTTTTCGACGAATTGGTAACATGTCATGGCTGAACCACTGGTTTTATGAGTCACGACACCTTCGATTGCTTTTAGCTATATCACCTTAGCTCTGCAAAATGAATCCTTTATGGGTGTGCCTTGTACTTAAGGGACCTTTTTTAACTAGAAGCGTCGCTTTAAGTTTGAAAAAAGTCCACATATAGAGAAATGAGCCTTGTAAGAGGATGTTTGAGCCTCGAAAGAGGATATTTGTGACCCAGTATGAAAGCAAAGAGAACCTTAGACTCGTGCACTTATTGGGTGTCCATTTTTTATATTGCTCATCAGAATGTCAAAAACTTCACTGAAGAAGATGTAGAAGCATACAAGTATGCTTTGTGTCAGTCTGGGTGTACTGGTCCCTTGAACTACTACAGGGCTGCGTTTTCTTACCAAGATTTACCTCCTGGGTACTGGCGCACCAAGATCAAGGCTCCAACCCTTGTGGTTTGGGTGAGTTAAAAATTGCTTGCGATCACTTGCGAAGATTCAACTAATAGCTAGCCTTACATTTTTAACATATTTTTGGGCGTGTTTTCTGATCTTCAGTGGAAAAATGTCTTTTTGCTCACATCTTTTGCAATAATTTAGAATTGTCTTCCATTGTTTCCAAATGCAAAACAACAGGAAATATACCAATACAATGGATTATATGATTCACATGAGTTGCATGTTCGTAACTAGGAGACTTAAGCGGTGAATTTCCCATTGAAACATCCTGAAAAATAACTAAGCGGATAAACACATAAATTTATGAGTAAATGAAAAATTAAGGTTAAGAGGACCGAACCCGTAGCCTGGACTCATTCAAGGACGTTAATGACCTTAGGTCCTCAGCCAGTTTGTTTCACATATTTGCAGAAGTGTATCTGAAGGAACGAAGACCATAAGTGGTTCTGTTAACGTATGGAGTAACAAGTTTCCTTGATCCTTGTAGGTTGCGTTCAGTATTTCTCATTTGAAAAAGACCACGTATGTACTTCGGCATCGTTTCAAACGGGATTGCCTTAAAAACTGTTTTAATCATGTCTTGGCACCTGATACTACACAGATCACTAGAATTAAATTTGCTCAGTAGCTCCTGGTAGTGCAGAGACTTCTCGTCCAGAACAATCCTGAGCGCCCTTTTGTTAAGATTCTCTAATTTGTGTCTATTCGGAGTCCCGCAAAAGTGCCAACTGCTGAGCAATATCTAAAATATGAGACAATAAAGGCCTTACAAAGTTTACATTTCACATCTGTCAGTGCTATTTTTCTAAAGCGAATCACAGACTAGTTCTCAGATGTGATTCTTCACCACATAACTGACACTGTGATTTAACCGTAATAGTAAAATTTTTCGTTGTCCATCGTAGATAGCTGACAGTACCGTGGACTGATTAAACTTTTCCATATTGTTAATGTTGTGACATCAGCTGGACCTAAAAATGATCGCCATAATTCTCTTTGCATTACAGGGAAAAGAAGACATGGCTCTGTTGATGGAAACGTTGACAGGAACTGATAATTTTGTGGAAGACTTGACGATCAAGTAAGACTTTGGATGAGGGTCTGGATAGGGTTGTATCTCTGATGGTTGTTGGTTAAAAATTAGCCGTTTTAGTGGTAGAGACTTCATTTTTCGGCCATTTGACGGTTGACGCCGATTAAGTTTCCGCATGTTGGTTTATCATGAAAAATTAAGAAGGAAATAAGGTTGTCATTCATCGCAAAAGGATGCGATTCCGCGAGTACTAAAATAAATCATGTAAAAAAAGATTTATAAGGTGTAAGAAACGTTAGTGCTAACGCTATGGCCGTCCAAAACATGGCCTCAGTTCTGGCTGTTTTCTGTACGCATACGCCATTGAAGTTGTTGATGAGGAATATCTGAGAGATAGTATAATTGTTCCGGTGATTAGTGGGTATTGTTAAATTATCCCCTCGACTTCGTCTCGGGGATTATTCAGCAATGTTCACTTCGTCTTCGGCGAATAATTCTAAAACATAAACTGAACGTCATATTGCTGTGAAAAAAAAAGTGCAGGAGAGAAAACTTAGGCTAGATGGAAAATTTTCATTAATAATGGGCTTCCATTCATCAGAATATGTTAAGTTATACCACTTACGTATGTATTAAGTGGGAGATAGTTTTAAAATTTGACATATAAACACCAGTGAAATAAAAAATGAGGTTTCGCGCGAAAACGATATCTTCACACGCAAAGATGACCTGTTATCTTCACACGTAGAAAGATCGCAGTTGCTATGGTTACATATAATTCTTTAGTATTATTTTATCTCTGCGCGGCCATGCTATATCCTGTAGGTATATTTGTACTTAACGAAATAAAAATGAAGAAAGATAAAAAATGGTTCAGTAAGAAAAACGCAGCTCAAGCTTAAGAATTCCTCTCAATTTTAACAGATACGTTGATGGAGCAACTCACTGGGTCCAAGTCGATGGATGCGAGGACGTGAACAAACACATTCGTGAGTTTCTCAATGTCCATCCACAGGAATCTTTACAGAAACCAGATTAGAACGAGACAAGGACTGTTCAATGCGCCTTTTAGTTGATTTCTCTGCTACTGAAGAAAACGAGTGTCTGCCAAAATTTCCAAGGAAATAAAAGTCTGCTCTTGGTTTTAGAGAGGAGAGTAGAACGAGAGGATTTGGTAATTCCCATTACCATCATCAAGATTCTCAAGATTGACATTAAATTAGATAACATTTTCCTTTAAGTTGTTCTCTAGTTTTTGTACGTTGTGTCTGAGGCTGATAGTTTTCAATAGTGTGAAATGGATTTGTCTCGTATGTGTCATTTTCAATGCTCCATAAAATTAAAGTAAAGGAACTTGTAATCAAAGATTGGTGAGGATTCTTATTTACTCGTCATTCAGAGACCTGAATTATGTCGTCTTGTGACAAATTTATCCGGAGAACCCTTATATATTTTACTAGTTCGTGTCGACGCAAACAGCATGTAAAGCTGGAAATGTGTGTATACATTTAAACCCTGATGTCTTTTTGGCCTGCTACATGCACTGTTCTCATTGGAGGTTTGGTCAATCTATGAATTATTGACGCTGAATTACTTGCCACTGCAGTGGACAGATATCGCAGAGTTTAAGGAAAGAAATTCCGAACTATTTACAAAAATGACGCTATCGACATTGTTGATCCTAGCAGTATGCAGGACGCGTGTCAAATGAACTTCATAATAGTCCTCGTTCACCGTTGAGTCTCTGCGGTTCAGTGGTAGAGCATTGGAAAGCGGAATCCGAAGGTCTGAGGTTCGATTCCTCATGGGGACTTTTTCCTTTGTCTTACGCTCGCGACAAGACGAAAAAATATCTTTCTCTATTTCTTTACCGAGCTTAAAACTTACCATTTCTCTTATTCTATTTAATATCAATATACTTCTCAAGTCTTGAAACAAGGCAGCTTAAGGTTGAGGGTTCATAATCTGTCTTTTCTTTTAACGGAGCAGATGAACTCAAGATACATTATTGAGGTCCTCTTTCTTTCCGTCACGAAAATTATTTGAACGGTTTTGAATCTCGCCGCTTTTTTTTGCTTCTGCACCAGTTCCTTTTGTACCAGCGGATTAATTACAGGAGATGATTTCAAGCTACTGAGAAATAAAATGCCCTGCGGCTTAAATTCTGCCGAAAAGCTTTAGTTAAAGGAGAATGAAACAAACAAAACGTTCGAGCACTGTAAAAGACAATTTCAACAGTTGCCTAAAAAGATCACCATTAGAAACGAAAGATGAAAAATAAGATAGTTATGGTTTAAAAAATCGGAATGCTATCTAAAACTAAATCAAAAGATCCAAGGAAGGAAATATTCTGCTCCCTTGCTAGTAAGAAAGGGGTTACCTCTGAAGGAATTGTGGTACTGCGTTGTTGGGGATTATAACAAGATCATTTGATTTTCTCAACTGAGCCGATAATGTAATCGGCCACCATTAGAGCGAAAGACGGAGGGCTAACGTTCGAAACGTCAGCTCTTTACGGTGACCAATTTACATTATGAACTCAGATGATAGAACCAATTATCTAGTTCGAGAATTGTTCTTTGTTTGTCAACTCCACAAGTACACATACAAAAAAAGACCTTTCCTGAGCCAAAAAATCCATTACGTTCAAAATATTGAAAGTTGTTTGAATTAGGGAATTTGAAATGAATAAGGTAAGTTTATTTTATCAACCGAGCTGATAATATGAATTGGCGACCGTGAAGTAGAATCTCTTTAAGGCGGCCAAATTATCTTGTAGTGCTCTCCAGTCAGTTCGTTTAGAAACTTGCACCTCCTAGAAATAAAAAAGTTATGTTACAGGCCGTGTTTCTCCTTCATATCAGTACAAGTTTAAGATTTATCGAGGGCTTTAATTCCGGCTTAACGTTTTGGCTGATTAAGTTCATGTATTACACAGTTATTACAGGAGTTTAGAAGTTTTCACCGCGATAAGGACTATCTTCATTCCTACCAACGCTACGAGTTACCACCATTTGCCTCCGTAAAACAGCCCGCTTTGGGCCCACAACGTAACTAGTCGTGCATGCTAAAAGTTGCATTCTGTTGGTACGCAGCGACTTATGTAAACCGTCACGACTAAATTTATCCTTGCCTAAAGGGTTACCAAATTTGCTAAGCTATGGAACTACGCTGCGCGTTCTTCCCTACTAGCCCTCAAAAGGTAAATTGAAGACTGTCTTGAAATTTTAGGCCCCGTCTCTATAAGACTAAAAAGAAGCTTTGATTAGTACGATAAGAATGTTTTACCGTAACTAACCTAAATTCCAGTGAAAAACTGCCAAAAACATCAAAACTGTGTACTATGTTGGGGAACTTTCCGTATGCAGAGGCTAACAATCTTGTTGACCCCGTCCAAACTAAACCACACTTCAACAATAAATGATAGTTTGGACAAACTCTGATTCCTGAAGTGATCTTTGTGCTTGCGGCTCGGATTCTTGTTTTCACCCCATTCTTTGAGGCAGACGTGTATGGTCTTTGTCTTACACGCCAGTTGTTCACTCTACCAGGTGCGTTGATAGGTCTTTTCTTCTTTATCGTTTCTTGTTTTAATTTTTTTATCGCGCCTGTTTAAATACCTAAATGTATTGAAAAAGAGAAAACTTTGAACTTCTAAAATGTGTCTTGTATTTCTAAGTATTCTTCGGGAGACGAAAAGGGAAAATCTTGAAGAATAGTAGAAGATCACAATGTTTTACGTAAAATTATCATTAAATTCATCAACCTGAACTTGCAAAAACATGAGACGGACCGCCTTAGCTTGGAAAAAAGGATAACGTACCAAAACCTTAGCACAAAACCTTTCAATAACAGGACATTGTTTTTTGCAGTCATTTGTCCTGTCTTTGTTCCACGCTCGTGACAAGACGTAAACATCTTTCTCTATTTCTTTACCGAGCTCAAAACTTACCATCTCTCTTATTTTTATCTACAAAAATTACGCTTTCGACATTGCTGATCCTAGCAGTATGCAGGCTGCGTTTCATATCAACTTTGTAATAGACCTCGCTCACCGTGGTGTCTCTGTGGCTCAGTGGTTATAGCATCGGAGCGCGGAATCCGCAGGTCTTAGGTTCGATTCCTCATGCATGGGGACTCTGAATTTTTTCTTTGTCCCACGCTCGTGATAAGACAAACATCTTTCTCTATTCAATGATCGTTGTGTCTACTTCATATTAAGCGCCTTTGAACCTTTGAAAATCATAGAACCGATGCCTATGTGAGCTCTTAATTACTGAAAGTTAAACCAGCATCAAATCCATGATATAGAGTCCGTGATCCGTATCAGCAGTCCACACAACCATTTGAAGATGCAGCACGTGACTTAATAATTTTTGCAATGTTGAAAAACCGTGGTGCTATGAAACATATTTTTTTAAATTCAAAACGGCTGGAAAATCAAGGAAATTCGAAGAGCGGTAAAGGAAACCTATTTTACTCTCGTTTCTTGACTCAAACATGGTACGCATACATGTATGTAAAACAAAAATAAATGCGTTAAACACATCGTACTCCATAGATCGTTGGAAAGTGTTGTTCAATACGTCAACTCGAAATTTTAGACAACATGGAAGTAAATGTAACTGCCGCGACAATGGTTACCACGGTTACTTTGCTGGAGAATTATCGCATTAGGATCCCAAGCATCATTGAAAATGAGGAAAGAGATCTGGATAGTATTGTTTTGTTAAGCTGATAAAAATAAAGTACTTCACGGTCATTAGTAAAGTACTACTTGAGACGCCTAAAATAGACCTTTGTATCACCATGATAAAAGCTCCTTGGAATGGTCTACACTGAACAATACATGTAGAATTCTTCTTCTTATATTTTCTGAATCACGACATCTATATATTTATTGGAATAACATTTCGGTATTTTTCATCATCTGCTTTCATAGTATTTTGATATTTCCCTGGATTATAAACGATAATTCAGCAATCTATTAGATATGTTTCTCAGTTTTCGTAGACTTTCTAAGAAAGTTTAGCGGCTTTGTTCATTAAGCCGGTCAACTCAAGTCGACTTCATTTCGGCAGAGTGGTCCTATTAGGTTTTAAGATGATTCGGTTTTTATCAACTGAGCTGATAAAGTGAATTGGCCACCGTAGAGAGTTTTTAAAGCTGACGTTGCGAGCGTTAGCCCTCTGTCAAAGTAAGGTCAACTAGCTTTTAGTAAATATAATTAGACGCCCTGTGTAATTTCAGCGTATTATGAATATATACTCAAAATTCAAAAAGTAGACATGAATTAGAAACTTTTCATCATGGCATGCCTCACCCTTCAAAAGTCACTACGAACAAAATATAACTGGTCAGTCTCTAGAAAAGAGGACTTATCGAGAACCATAATTTTAACTTTTCTTTCTAAAATTTTAAATAGACCTTGTTAAGAGGAAAGTAGTTTTGATGCAAATACAACCTCTGGCTAGACCTTGATTAACTCTAGAGATATCGACAATTGGAAAATTAACAAAAGCTCTGTCCTTTTGTTATTAGTAAATGAAAAAGGAGGCGCCAATAGAACCAGCCTCGTTCATTTATATATTCACACAAATATTTTTACGAGAGAAGTTGTTTCGATGCAAATGCGACCTCTGGCGAGAACTTGGTCAATTATGAGCGTTATTGTATAAAAAAAAGTGATCAATTGTTTCGTTAGATATTGACAATTGGCAAATTGACAAAAGCTTTGTCCTTCTTTATTGAAAATGGAGTGGAGGCTCGAGTAGAACCAATCTTTGTTCAGTTGTATATTCCCAAAACATGAAAATGCTATCTTAGGCATTACTTGAAATCAATGAGATAAACATATTGCTCTGTTTTCTAAACATCTGCAAGGAAAATTATTTGAGAAAATGGTTTAAAAGTTTTAACCTCATTGAAATTCTCGACTGGTGCTCGTCCCAAATAAAAAATTAGTATAGTCTAATTTCCCAGTTGTGGAAAAAACTTCGCTTGAATTTAAGGAAGATTCAACAAACGCCTTATTTTTCTTAATCAGTATGATTATATGTAACTTTCATTATAGTACGTGACCATATAGAATAACACGAGTCAGATAAAAAATGCATACCCAAGGCCCTTAAGTAAACCACTAAAGTACATGATGACTAACTCTTATTGAGCCTAAAGAATATTATTGATGGATATAACCATGAACCTCAAATAACTCTATCCTAAATAAAGGTTTTTGTTGTTTTTTTTCTTTGTACCCCCACAATATTCTCGTCCATTTAATAACTATTTTCAAATGCAAATGCAACCTCTGACTAGACCTTGGTCAATTATGAGCATTATTGCATAAAAAAGTGATCAATTAATTCTAGACATATAGAAAATTAGCTTTGGAAAATTAACAAAGCTTTGTCCTTATGTTATTAGTAAATGAAAAAGAGGTACGAGTAGAACCAACTTCGTTGAATTGTTTATTCACACGAAATGAGAATTCTATCTCAGATATTATTTGAAATCAATGAGATAAACACACGGCTCATTTTTCTAAACGTCTGAAAAGAAAATTATTTAAAAATTAATGCAGAAACACAAAATGTCGTCACTGAGACAAAGGTTGGCCCAAATTAAAAAAAAAAACAACCAAAAACAAAAACAAAAAACAAATGTAAATGAAAAGATTATTCTACATGTCAATTGAAATAACGTTCAATTTTGTAAATTGTTAAAGCTCAGAACTGTGCTTTGTGAAATAAGGACTATTATTTTTCGTTGTTTCGTCAGTTATTAGAATCTAACATTTTGGTTTTTAAAGACCTCTTGGTTACTAGGGTTGGGTATTATCTTACCTTTCAACGTTGAACTTTCTGCAGATAAAACGAAATAAAATGATTTAACGGGACAACTAGAAAAACAAGAACAGGGATGAAAAACAACGGAGCGCGAAATACAAAGGCAATGAAATTAACATTATATTTTTCGTTTTGTTCTGCTTTGGATGTTGTTCTGAGTAGGTAATTAAAAGGTATGACTTTACCACTTGAATGGATTAAAAGGCTCTTTCCAATTTATGAAGCATTGTTAGAATAACTGAAAGAATTCAAAGGATTTTCTGCTTAAAGGCTGTTTGATCTACACATTAGGCACATTAGCTTCTACCTTTGAGAGCGACTAGGTCAGCTATCTGAGAGGGGAAGGTGAGTTTAACAGTAATTTTCACGAGCTTTACCTCTTAACATGTACTCTTACGACTTTCAATTCATCCAGGCTCACTACGTTTAAAAAGATATAGGACAATATTTCAAAACATTCTTGTAAAATAAGAAACTACACCTAAACAGGAATCTTTTGTACATTCATTTTCAGGGTGGGGAAAGGAAAAGGGTTGCACTGCACTGCACTTCTTATCCCCTCAGCCAAAGAAACAGAGCTAACGTAGAGTTTTTTAACATCCCATTTAGGACAGGATAATCCTATTATTTATACCAAAAGATCGAGAAAAATTATAGATGTGAATAATGAAGAAAATAAGATTCACCAACGATTTTGTTCTTCTAGAATAGAATCAGACATTACGAACTCTCAGAAGTTTCATGGACGAAGTTTACAATGAGTTTTTAAGACCGCGTTATTAGCAGGAGGATAATTTGCAGTTTAAAATTTAAACCATAATTTCGCTGATATATTTTTTTTAATCTTACAAACAGACATTTTCTATGATGAACAGGTTACACCTAGGTATCAAACATTGACCATTTCCTAAAGGGGGTATTATTTTGAGTGCAAATTCTTTTGGAGAAGATATACAAAATTTCAGACCCGGGAGACATGACCCGAAAAAGATCGAAAAAGAGATGGCCAATTTCTGAAAAATTAAAAACAGTTAATTTTCGTAGGTCCTAAGCGTCACTTAGTTGTATAGACGCTGGAAAATAACTGTAGTGAAAATAAGGTCTGAAAAAAATTTCAAAGGTTAAGATATGGAACATTCCTGTTCAAATATAAATAAAACCGTATATGGAACACCTGTTAAATAAAAGCCAGTCTTTATACCATCTAGTTTTTTTATTTAAGTTAATTTGTTCCGTGTCCATTTAGGTGCTTTTGTTCAAGACTGCTGCATTTCTCGGTTATCGAATGTGTTATCGTCGGGATTCAAATCGAAAAACCTAAATGAAATGGGCCAAGATATAGAGGAGTTCGCCCTCATCAAGGGAAAAATTGGGACAGAGCTGTTCCATTGCTTTTTTCTTGCTTTCACTCAGTTTAATTATGCATAAAAACAGCTGATGTAACCTCACTCCGATGTTTCTTTGTCTTGAAATACGCAACAGTTTTAAACTTCCAGCTCTCGAATTTTCAAATAAACTTTTGGAAAGCAGTAAAAGGCGGTGCGCGAGAAGATTCATCATATTAAGGAGCAAAATTTATATCATCGTGCAAACGTGTACAGTGTTGTTAACGTATAAGACAAAATACGAAGGTCAAAGTATCTTATAAATTAGCGTATTAATAGTTAAAAAGCAGTGATAACAACGAAGTAAAAGATTTTCTCTGATGTTTCTACGGCCAAACGTTTAATTGCGATGTGCTCACGTGCTTCAGCCAGTTCATGATGTCATGTTAAAGTCTCCTCTTCTTGCTAATCCCGAAAAAAGTTGCGCTTGATTTTTCCTCGCTAACGTAAACGGGAAGGTGTTACTTAACTGCGTCAAAACTAGATATTTCCTGAGCTATTCAAAATCAGACATCTTTGTCCAATAGAATCAGTTCTCTGTGTTTTTTTTTTGAATAATTAAACAGAGCAAAATTGCATGCATAGAAGAGTGCAAGACTTGGTGTCCATGGCTACGCACAGTTGTTATTCATTGAAAGGACAAACATTTTTGAAAGATATTTCTTACCTCATGATTCTGAATGTTTTATCAGACCCTACAACAAATACTTCAAGGAGTGTATTTTCTGGATAAAATCTTTCTTTTACTTTTTATCGAGAGAAATCTCCTTTTGCGCTTAAGATTTCTGGAAAACAGAAAAAAATGCCAAAATACCAAAAATTACATTAGCGATTACCACATGAATAGAAATATACGCAGTCTTATCAGGCGATACGTGAATGAATGGCAGAATGAGAAGACGGATAACTGTCCTTTACTACGAGACGCTGAGCTGGTAAAGTGCGTTGAACTTGGAGAATAATAGAATGATAAAAAATAATTAGCAAATTTTCATCTTTTGAGTCCAGCTGCACAGGCGGTGCCTGGAATGGATAAATGTAGTCCGCATGTTTGCCTTATTACCTTGTACCTGGGTACTTACCATAAAAACTCCAAATTGATCAGCATTATATTTTTTGAAACGTGTAATCTGAATTTTATCACTCATTTTGATTAGTATGTGCATACTTTCGCGAGTATATTTCTACTTCTTGTAATCAAATCTTGTGATCAAAGTCAGATTCCCGTCGAAAATAACACTGTCATGCTCTCTTGAAAGCTATTTTTGCGCTTTTGGAGAAAATGTTTCCGGCTCTTTGTTGTTGCGTATTGGTAACAAGCTGCTGCGTATACATTTTGAATTTATCTACGAAATAAAGCGTTGCTTGCTACGCTTTGCGAGTACAAAACAAGCTTGCGTTGACGCTAAGATTTTAATAAAACGATTAGTAAAATTAAAAAAAAAATTCCTTAATGCGACTAAATAAAACGTCTTGACGGTGTGGCTGTTCTGTCGAGCAGAATTTATATGCCGCCAAGAGTTCTTGCAACCTTGAAAAAAATGGATCGCACGAAATTTTTCTCTTTTATAAAATATATATTTGTTTGTTGTCTATTTGCAGAGTTGAATTCCATTAAACATGCAACATTTGTGGGTTCTCGTACCTATCGCATTGGGTGTATGTTTAGGTAAGAATATCTGGCTATTTTCATCTCTCCATCCTAGCTTCTATCTCTTACAGCAGGTTATGATTTTTGATGATGACCATAAACTTAATCTATTTTTCTTTTTCAGGCGTGGTATCTGTAACAGGAGGTTCGTTAATATTTTTATTTGATAATCTAGTTACCGATGCTGATATTAATCTACATTGGCTAGTTTAAGGGTTGCTTATGGTTCAATGGAGATAATATTTAGAATATAGCATAATCCCTGATGATGGTATGGAGCGCTTTTGATTGATTTTCGTTAAAAAAAAAATCAAAGTAATCACAACGGCCAGGTAGTGATTCGTTTTAGTTTTGCATCTGATTGGTTGAGATTGGCCCGAGTTTTTTTTTTTTATACCAATCGACAGAGCAAAGTGAAGCACTGAACAAAGCACACCGGGGTAGTTTCGATACTCAATTGAAAATTACTCCAATATCTGTGATTTTCGATTGTGGCCCAATTTTATTTTTCCCCGCAAGGTACAATGTAACAAGTGACAGTAAGTGTTTCTTCAACATTGTTTCCAGTTAAGATCCCAGAAGTACAATCATAGATCCATGGATGGGCATCCTAAAGTCAAACAGCCTAAGCCTTAAAAGCCTCAATATTTAGTCACTAATAAGTTAAACACTCATTTTTATTCCTAAAATAAGATGATAGGTGCCGCAAACAGAATATGGATGTAGCGATTTTCGGTGACATATCAAGGAGTATGAGGAAGCAACACCGCAAACAGATGATCAGCTTTATTGAAGGGTTACTTGACAAAACTCTTGTTTCCGCCGACGGAAATCATGTTGCTCTTGGCACATTTGGAGATTCTGCTGATGTTGCTATCATGTTTAACGAAGAGGTATTCCAAGATACAAGCAATCTGAAGAAGGCTGCAAAAGCAATGTTCATGGTTAGGCCAAAGTTAGTTGGAACTCGTACAGATCTTGCTTTGGACCTGGCTAGCAGGAAAGTGTTTACAGCAGCTGGAGGGGACAGACCCGAAGCCAAGAACATCTTACTTGTCGTAACTGATGGAAAACCTTACATCAGAAAGAAAGACAAGAAACCATTTATTCCTTTTGAAACGTCAACGAAAGCGTTGGAGGTAATAAAGAGACGGATTTATACCGGGAAAAAATACTCATTTTATAGAGTTCTCTTGGATGATATGGCCTTTCCGCTCAAATAAAAAAATAATAGTCTCGTAACTTCATATACTGTGAATTTATAAGAAGTCTTTTTCGGTCAAACGAGGTGTTTAAGTTTTTTTACCGTTCTGGTACGTTTGGTGGAGAAAAGAAAAAATGTGAATATTTTTAGGTTATCTTGTTTTTATTTCCACAATGAGATCTCACGTAAAGTATGTATCAAACTAACTGACTGTCTACTTAACTGTGAGACTGCATGTTTGTTTTGTATTAGGCTGAAGGTGTTCTCGTCGTCGTTGTTGGGGTTGGTCCAGCTGTGGAAAATGAAAAGGAGAAAATGGAAGAGGTTGCTGGTGAAAAAGGCATTGCTCTTTTGGTCCCGAGCTTTGACATACTAAGCGATCATTTAGACGAGGTCTTAGAACTTTATTGTGGTAAGTTCAGGTTGCAACACATTATATCACTAGTAACCGATAATTTCAATGTTGACGATAAGAGAGCATAATATGTAGATACCATATCGTAAGAACCGAACTTATGGCTTTATAAACATCAGTGGATTCTAATAAGTCCTAATTTCAAAGTGTTGGTCTTCAAGAATTCCTAGCTATTTGGCGTAAATGAATACTTATGGGGCTTCACCTCATAGGCGCTAAACCCTACATTATTGTGTTCACGGCCGCTTAAAACTGTTAGATTTTAGCCCCCTCCAATAAAAAACAATTGACTTGACTTTGTTCAAAATAGAGTTATTAATGAAAGGAACGTTTAACTGCACCATCAATTAGATATACAACCCACGAATTCATCACTAATGGAGAACAAAACAACGAATTCAGGACTTCTTTCCTTTAAGAAGACCTAAGTCAGACTGAATTAGAATTTTTTGGAAAACAACAGTTTTATGCTGTATCTCTGGCGCAGGATCTTTTTTCTTTCATTTGTTTTGTTTATTTTTTCCAATATCACGATCACATTAATATTCACGGCTAAACGATTTTTATCCAAGAGACAGTTTCACTTCTATCAAATTTTCTTTCAATAATAATAAGAACCTGTACCAATCCCCTGCCAAGGTGTGCAGATGAGTGAACATTTTTTTTCTTTTTGGTGGTTTAGCAATTGACGGCAATTACACCGAGTGGAAGGAGTCTGACTGCAGTGTGACGTGTGGAGGAGGAGTAATGACACTTACAAGAACCTGTACCAATCCTCCGCCGTCTAATGGTGGAAAGGACTGCAGTGAACTGGGACCGGCTGAAAAGACACTTGCATGCAACGAACAAGAATGCCGTAAGCTGATATAGTAATTAATTAATGTCTTTAAGCGATGGGTATACTTTCTTCAATGTACTTTAAGATCCATCTTCAATTACTTCATAATTTGCATAAGTTGCGGATTTGTAAGCACTTAATTAAGAGGGTCCCCTATAGGCGTGATTGGGCGATTGTTTTTCCCTTGTGAATCATGATTTAATTTTATTTTAATTTGTGAATAGTGATTAGAGATGATGAGATCTTTTCATGTCTGCTTGAACGAAACTTTTTAAGTTAAACGTTACCCGCGAATTAGAAGCTGAATTAAACGTGATTCGGGAACCATTTTGTTTTGCACGATAAATTTCCGGCCTTTATATTGTTATGAAAATTTACGTATTGTTCTCGAGCGGCTCTGGTGAGCTTTTGACTCGGGATGGACTTAATACTCATCAAAAAAAGTTCTAAAAAGGACCACTAATAGTTCTTGAACAAATAAGATAAGACATTACGTCATTTTTTGTCGCGTAAGACTGGTCGGCAAGAATAGAAAAAGTAAAGTATTAATTCAACGTGAATATCTTGAATTTCGCGTGAACGTGACAGAGTTTTGAACATTACTTGTAATGTGTGAAAAGGCGAAATAGTATTTCGTGACTGAGTTTCTCAAAGGGGTATAGGGGTGGAGGGTCCCATATTGGTTGGACGAAAAAGGTACACAAACTCCTCGGTTTAAGTTGCTGTTTTAGTCTCGATTTCTGACTCCGAATCTATTGTTGAATCGCATTCAAATTTAATATCTTTTACTTTCAACCCTTGCTCAATTATTTTCTGTTTCAGTTATCTTCTTCTCTTGCTTTCTGACGCTCGAGCCCTTTATCGTTTGCGAGTTCCCTCATTGCTCTTAGAACCCTATCTCTGTAGTCTAGTTTGGCCGCTTATCTCAAACTGGACAAGCGTTTTTTTCCTGATGGACGTTTCTTGTGGCTAAGATGTAGGGATGATGTACAACCGGGATCCGTTCTTTTTAAAATTGAAAAACATTCTGTTTTAATGGTTTAGCAATTGATGGCAAATACACAGAATGGAAGGAGTCTGAGTGCAGTGCGACTTGATGACAACTACATTAAGTGGACTTGTGAACACTTAATTAAGGACAAATAGATTTGATTCTAAAACCAAGTTATCAATTCCATTTTTATGGCAGGTTGTGCATAAGGGTGAAAAGTATTTCTTTTTTATGATTTAGCAATTGATGGCGGATACACCGAATGGGAGGAGTCAGAGTGCAGTGCGACATGTGGAGGAGGAGTAATAACTAAAACAAGAACTTGTACCAATCCTGCTCCACAACACGGTGGAAAGGACTGCAGTGATCTGGGACCAGCTGAAATGACACTTTCCTGCAACGAGCAAGAATGCCGTAAGCTGATATAGAAATTTGTGTCTTTAAGCGACGATTATGCTTTCTTTAATGTACATCACTAAATGATGTTTTAATGGTTTAGCGATTGATGGCGGATACACCGAATGGGAGGAGTCTGAGTGCAGTGCGACATGTGGAGGAGGAGTAATAACTAAAACAAGAAATTGTACCAATCCTGCTCCACAACACGGTGGAAAGGACTGCAGTGAACTGGGACCAGCTGAAATGACACTTTCCTGCAACGAGCAAGAATGCCGTAAGCTGATATAGAAATTTATGTCTTTAAGCGACGATTATGCTTTCTTTAATGTACATCACTAAATGATGTTTTAATGGTTTAGCGATTGATGGCGGATACACCGAATGGGAGGAGTCTGAGTGCAGTGCGACATGTGGAGGAGGAGTAATAACTAAAACAAGAACTTGTACCAATCCTGCTCCACAACACGGTGGAAAGGACTGCAGTGAACTGGGACCAGCTGAAATGACACTTTCATGCAACGAAGAATCATGCGGTGAGCACAAACAATCATTTTCCAACCACATCCTAAAGCTCTTGAGAAGGCTCAGAGAAAGCGATAGCAAAGTACAACGAATAAAAGTGCTGAGATAAGATTTGCTGCCCTGGTTCTAGGCAATGCTTGGTAACTGAAAATTCACGTTACAGGTCAATTAAAATTTTTTGAAGAGTTTTTTTTCTTCACGGTTTAGCTATTGATGGCAACTACATTAAGTGGACTTGTGAGCACTTAATTAAGGACAAAGAGATTTGATTCTAAAACCAAGTTATCAATTCCATTTTTATGGCAGGTTGTGCATAAGGGTGAAAAGTATTTCTTTTTTATGATTTAGCAATTGATGGCGGATACACCGAATGGGAGGAGTCTGATTGCAGTGCGACATGTGGAGGAGGAGTAATAACTAAAACAAGAACTTGTACCAATCCTGCTCCACAACACGGTGGAAAGGACTGCAGTGATCTGGGACCAGCTGAAATGACACTTTCCTGCAACGAGCAAGAATGCCGTAAGCTGATATAGAAATTTGTGTCTTTAAGCGACGATTATGCTTTCTTTAATGTACATCACTAAATGATGTTTTAATGGTTTAGCAATTGATGGCGGATACACCGAATGGGAGGAGTCTGAGTGCAGTGCGACATGTGGAGGAGGAGTAATAACTAAAACAAGAACTTGTACCAATCCTGCTCCACAACACGGTGGAAAGGACTGCAGTGAACTGGGACCAGCCGAAATGACACTTTCATGTAACGAACAACCTTGCCGTAAGTATCTGTAGTGTGAAGTTATCTGGATGTTTTGCAGCGATAGTTGTCATTAGTACTGCACTCTGTTTTGAGGAACCTGAAGCAGTAAGAGCATTGAAGAAAATTATTAACAAACTGGGACACAGACTGCGCTATATGATTGTTCACACAAGTGGATCGCGAGACTGACGATAAATTTAAAATACATGGTTTTAACTTTTAAATTGAATGCTCGTTGCACCAGTCCTGCCTAGGCATGCATGTCCTAATTCTTGTTTTTTCTACCCTGGAAACTTCAAAGCTCATTTAAAAACATAACTTTTATGCTTTAATGAATGCTGTGAAAATTTAGTGAAATTGGAACCATGAAATGAATTTCTCAGTAATCTAGTTCCTTGTTGCCGAATATATATATTTTTAAACCTTTATTACTATATTAGCCATAACCCATTATTCTTGTTTATTCAGGAGGTATTAAATGAACAACGTAATGTCCTTTCTTTCAAAATATAATGGGATATTTGTCTGAGAAATGCGAGTTATAGGGAAGGGATGATGTCGAAAGTCGGAAGCGATGTAAAAGGCTTTTTATTCTAAAAGTATCGCGAATTGTATGGAGAATACAGACAGACGAATCGGTACATTTTGCACTACCTTTAAACACTGTGTATAAAGATAAATCGTCTCTTCTCGACACGTAAGAAAATATAACCAGACAAAATTTTCTATTGAACGGAAATGGCCGGAGAATCTTCGCCGAAGCCATGAAATCCATAATCATATACTGGGCCGTTAGTACACGCGGTCATGCATCATGAACTCTTAAAAGGACTTATGACATTTACTCTGATGACCTATGTCCCTTTTGGTGGAAGTAAATAATGTTGGCTATTTGCAAGCGGCTTAGCTCGAAATTATAAAGGGACACTGCGGAGGTTTGAAAACGATAGCCTTTAGATTTCAAATTCACCAAGCTATCTAATGAGACGGATTCCACAACACTTCTCACCTTTAGTCAAACTTCAATGCGTGATAACATTTAGTTAAGATAAAGACGTAACACAGAAATATTGGAAAAGATCACTTGATAAGCCTCTCATTTCAATGAAGAAATAAAAATATATCGATATCGAATAATGGGTAACTATCATTGTCTGTACCTTATAAGACTAGAAATAATGACTTGTAGCAATGTTCTGATGTTGCTTCATGACTCAGATATCACTGCTGGCATTTTACATCTTTCTTCAAGTTGTTTCACTTTTTCATCTCCACAGCTCCTCCGTGCACAGCTGGACTTGACGTTGCAATCGTTCTCGACAAATCCCAGAGTGTTAAATTAGGTAATCTGGCAAAGGTTATCACCTTCTTGGGTAAACTGGTTGGAAGCTTCCACCCTGCTCCTGACGCAGATCACTTCGGCCTTATTACCTTTAACAAAAACGCACAACTGTCTTTCACACTTGGCAACTCACAATATCACGATAAAGACGCCCTATTACAGAAAATAGCCGAAGAACCAATGGTCCTACAGTATCAAACTCGCACCGATATGGCTCTCCTTATGGCGAGGGACGAGATGTTTACTGAGGCAGGAGGAGACAGACCAGACAAACCAAATATCATGATTGTACTCACAGATGGAAAGCCAACAAATCCAAACAGCAACTTTGACTTCAAGGCATTTGCTAAAGAGATATCGAAAGATTTCAAGGCGAGTATAAAATCGTTATGTCGAGGCTTGATTGATGCGAACATAGGGTTAAGACAAATAACAATGTAAACCTAATGAGTGGAATTTTTCAATTCTTTTGAACTGAAAGCCAGGACATTGACTTCAAGGCATTTTCTGAAGAAATGAATAAAAATTTCAAGGTAGATATGAAGTAGTTAAAAAAAAGTTTAAACAGCGACAGCTGCTGTTTCAACGAGTCATTTCACTAAGAACTAGAGCCCTAGTTGGGTTCCCTGTGTTGTGTTCGTGGTAATTTGTTGAGATGAATTGGCATTTTATCTTGCCCGCTTTAGGTTGCAACAACCTGGAGAAGTTCTAGCAGTAATGGACCCTTAAAACTAACTTAATCCTTCTCCAATCAAAAGTGACTCATGTGTCAGAGATTCTCTTCTTACAGGAAAAGAAAGTCAACATTGTAGCAGTGGGCATCGGTCCAGGAGTGGAGGAAGACACTTTGCACGATATCGCTGGCAAAGGTCCTGTGGTTCAGGTGGAGGCGTTCGATAAGCTTGATGAAATGATGAAAAAAATCAAGGCATCAGCATGTTCGGGTAAGTTATCGTGCATATACTTCAGTCACTCTCACTTTTGAATCCATCCGGCTTTCTCAGAGAGAAAAATGGATCCCCTTCAAGTACGTTATGGTCAAATTTATTATTATTTATATTACTATTACTGCTATTACCATCACTGCTATAATTATCACTATAACTGTTATTATTTTTGTCCTGATAACTCTGGTTATTAGCTCTACTATGCTTAAGAGAAACAAGAACAAAGAGACGTATTCTAAATACTCAAGAGAATAATTTCTATTTAGATTATGTGTCGGCTGGAATGGTATAGTTTTGTACATATTTTTATTCATCTCATGGTATAGAGCAATTACGAATTAGAAACTCGTTTCTTTTTTAAATAACATTTCATCTTTTATCATGTTATATTTAACAAAGAAGACACTTTTCTTTTCATAAAATTCCATAATGTCAAACAGTTCTCAATTTTTTTTAATAATGTAGTTCGTAAGTAGGATTGTAGGACTTTAACGTATGTTTTTAAAATTAAAAAAAAATTATCAGTATTTATAATTATTTCCATACAGTGATGCTTACGGAGAAACTTTTCTCACATGCGATTGTCACAAAATCAAGCTTTTGTGTTCATTTTGATTTGTAGGATAAAGAGGCTGGTTTTTCAAGACATGCCGTATATTTGGATTAAAACAAATGGGGGTAGACTACGTATGAAGTAGCAAAAATTTACGGAAGTATTGTGTATGCATTACATACCGAAAATAAACTATTTTAAAGAAGGAACCGCTGTCTTTGCCCATTTGCAATAAAATGACCGCGGAGCATCCTTCTCTACTCGCTCTTTCCCAGTTCTTTCTCTCTTACGCTCACTTTCCATTCTCCGTTTTCTTAAAGAAAGCCACTGGGGGAAAGAAATTGTCGTTTTATCATCTAAATTGATTTTTAGAATGAAATTCGTCAGCATAAATGGCAATGAAATATTCAGGGTGGAAAAAATTGAAACAGATAAGGCTGGTGACCGAAGATTGTAAATGATGTAATGTTTTAATACAACTATTCTAAATAGAATTGAACTATTTTAAATAGAATTGAAAGAGAACGGGAAAAAATACGCTTATAATAAATGGAGATCTTCGTGTATGGAAATTGCATTGGGAAAAATGCTATGTCGATGAAAATCGTAGAAAAGATGTTCATCAGAATTGCTCTTGAGAATTAATGTGTTTCTCTTGTCCGATAAGTCTCAAACTCAAACTGTTGTTTACTCCAAATACGCGCCAATTGGAACTAAAATCGATTCCCCTGGATTTCCGCCCTCTCTTTCTGCAATTTGACTGCGGCTGCTAATTCGAAGCAGTTTTCTTTCCCAATCAGGAAATTTTCTAAGTCACCTTAACCTTGAAAATTCTAAACGTGCCCGTCAGTATGTGACAAGTGAAAACAAAAAGTACGGTTGTCAAAACATTGAATTTGTTTTGATGAAGCCATATATTCTTTGTTTTATTTTTTGGGGAATTACGGAAACCGCCATAGAGTCGACTGAGTCAAATCTGCCAGTCAAGTGTACCATCAACTAAACTGCATTGTATCTCAATAAAGCTTAGCTACTGAAATTCTTTTTTAAAATGTTCCATTGTAACTGAATTGTTCATATTGATTACTATGTATGAATAAGAAATAGAGTGTGTGCATCTTTTATCCTTCTTTCTGACCATGTCTTCCCTGGAAGCCCTCCTCAGGTCTTTTATTCTGCTTTAACTTACTAATGCTTGCATCTTAATATTTTCTTAGTTTCAATGCCAATCTTGAACTTTGTTTTCAATTTCATTTTTGAAAAAGCAGTTATGTTGGTGATGGTTGTTCTCTTGGTAATGGCTGTTATGTTGGTAATGGCTATTATGTTGGTAATGGCTGTTATGTTGGTGATGGCTGCTATGTGGTAATGGCTGTTATGTTGGTGATGGCTGTTATGTTGGTGATGGCTGTTATGTTGGTGATGGCTGCTCTCTTGGTAATGGCTGTTATGTTGGTAATGGCTATTATGTGGTGATGGCTGTTATGTTGGTGATGGCTGTTATGTTGGTGATGGCTGTTATGTTGGTAATGGCTGTTATGTTGGTAATGGCTGTTATGTTGGTGATGGTTGTTATGTTGGTGATGGCTGTTATGTTGGTGATGGCTGTTATGTTGGTGATGGCTGTTATGTTGGTGATGGCTTTTATGTTGGTGATGGCTGTT